CAATGTCCTCTGCAATGCCCTTCCCTCTTTCTGGTCCACTCCCACCAAGGGACCATGGCATCTGGGAGCTCCCCTGCCCTAGCCACACGGGCCAGCCTCTCTGCTAGCTGTCTTGAGTTCCACTGTCGTCCTCCTCCTGCAATGGAATTCTGTCTACTTAAGATGTAGTCTGTATTCCTATAACCAGGCCACTCCATGAGAATCCCTGTGAAACTTAGTTTGGGGTGGGGGTGGGGCCGCAAGAGAGTAGAGACCTTGGCAGGGAGGAGGGAGGACAAGCAAAAGTGTAATATTGAGAAGAGTACCAGAGGAGGTAACTTGGATTTAATCCTACCAAGGAGAGCTGTGAAGATTAGTGTAGGACGCACTCGGGCTCTTCTAAACCAGGGTGGTGATGCTGGGATATTCGTGCCCTACAGCAGACATGGAGGTAGGAAAATTGAACAGTTCCTTCTTTAAATGGTTCAGTAATTTGCCCGAGGTCAGAGAGGGCCTGATGCCAACTGGTGCTCACAACCTTTCTGAATTTTGGTTCTGGTCCATCAAGGGAGAACTGCTTTTTCTTCTTGCCCAGATTGTGGCATGTGTCCCTCAGGAAAGACCATGTGGGATGACATGGCTGCTATGCAGAGTCCTGATGAGAAATAAGTCCTGGATGGACAAAGGACCTCACTGAGTGGCTCCGTGGGAACCCAGACCCACTGGAGCCAGCTTCACAATGGCGGCTCCCCGTGTTGAGAAAGGTGTTGCGTTGCTCAAGGTGTTGGTAATGGGACAACCACCTCACCCGCAGGAGTTCACACAGGAGTGAGTGTTTAATGATGTTGGTTGGATAGACTGAGAACCATCACTGACCCCCTGGTGGCTGCGTCACAGTAGACAAGGGCTTCCTCACTGGTCTCTTAAATGCTGCAAATAATCCAACTCCAAGTTTGAGACAGGAGAATGGCAAGTGCAGGTTTGTCTCAGCGAGATGACTGTCTCAAGAAATAAAAAGGGCTGGGGACATATAGCTCAGTACATTGAACCCCTACGTTCAGTCCCCAATACTGCTTCCTTCCATCTGGTCAGTCCAGTTCTACCAGCGCAATCTGGGACTGCCATAAATGTAGAAATGCCTCTTTCCTCATCCCTGCGCAGTGTTTACCTCATTACGGTTCAATTTTCCCAGTATCTCAGATGGAGGCTTTCCCATCTTTTCCTTTTAAAGATGAGAAAGGTGATTTCAGACAGTTTTAAGTTCCTTCCTTAGGGTTACACAGCCTGGAGGTTGCAGAACCTGACTGTGAATGAAGTTTGGGCTCTTAACTCCAAAGCCCTGGCAAGTTGTTATGGTGCAATTCTGGTTCCACTTTGGGTGGTGACAATCTTCCGTTCTAATGGAGGAGCAGTCTCCATGCAGGATGACTTCAGGCTAAAGCCCAGGTTAGAGGTGACTTAGAGGAGAAGATGGCGACGAACTGGTGTTTGAGGAAGACCTGGAGTCAGCTACGAAAGGAAAGCAGTAAGGGCCTTTATGGCTGAGGGCATGACATGAGTTCAGACTCTGTAGTTTGTTGTGCTGGCTGAGTCCTGACTGGGTGCAAGGGAGACAGTGGCTCTCATGGACCACTAGGCTCATGTCCCAGTGAATCCTGCAAAGCTGGCAACTCCAGGCAAGTAACTTTTACGTGATTCCCTCATTGCCTGGGCCTTGAGGGCCTGTGAAATTGAAGTCAACCCACATAGTGGTGACTGGCTTCTGCCACTCATTTGCCTTGTACCTTGAAGCTAGCCACTCAGAGGCAGAAGTGTCCTTTCTTTCCCTGTTTGCATTTGGCTGGGAGGGTGCACAGACACACCCCAATTGCAACTTCAGAGCAGAGGCTACCCTTAACAGCCTGCTACCATATTTCTTTTCAGCTCTGTTGGGCACAAATAGGTGTCTTGGTTGTGTGGCCATGGGAAGATCCTATTTCAGGATGGTGAAGGGACCTAGCCATGAGTTGATGGCATCTCCCTTTGGGGGGAAAAAAATCCATGGGGCCAGCCAACCTCAGCTCCAAGACCCCCCCCCCCTTCATTCCGTTTGTATATAGCTCCTTGAATACAAAGTGGATTGGAAGGATTTTCATATTGTCATTGTTAAGCCCTAAGAAAGACTCTGCAGCCCCAATGAGAGTGGAGGGAAGGGAAGCCTGGCCTTAGGGCAGAAGAAAACCCATCAGGAACTCCAAAGGAGACTAGAAGGTGGGAGTTGACCATCCTTGAGATATTCCTAAGTGATAGCCTACGAGATGAGGTCTTAGGCACATATTCATTACTGTGTTCTGACCCAGAGCTAACATTCAGTGTGAGAGGATTGATGAGATTATGGGGTTGGCTCTTGGTTTCAGAAGGTGCTGATGCCTATGATGACTTCAGCTTCTGTCTAACTTTGGTTAACCATTAATGTCCCGCACTAAACATTACATTCTGGTACAGGTTGTCTACCCTGAAAGAACGAACAAGGCTCGTTGTCGGAGGAAATGCCCATTTATTGAGGAACAGCTCTGCATATTTATAGAGCTGGGGGTGGTTTTACAGTTATGACAGTTTAATGGTTGAAGGGTTTGACAGTTGGCATGGGGTGCTTTCTGATTGGTGGGTAAGGATCACGTGAGCCAGCAGGGCTAGTCTGATTGGTGGATAAGGATCATGTGAGCCAGCAGGGCTAGTCTGATTGGTGGGTAAGGATCACGTGAGCTAGCAGGGCTCACCATTGGACTGCTCTTCTCTGGGGATGGGGAAGTTAGTCTTTGGAGCCGGGTGGACTCCTAACACACCCCTTCTCCAGTCCTTGCCTCTGGCCCCAGTGTCTGGTTTGCTTTGCCAGTCAGTACTTGTCATGCTTTCTTCGTTTTGCAAATATAGCAGGCACAGAGCAACTCTTCCCAGATCTCTTTATTTGAACAAGAGCCAGGTGGGATTTCTGTTCTCTTACAGAACTGTATCTCATATCTCACTTATTCAATATTATGCTTTATATTAACCTTATCTCATTTTACTATCCAATTGTTAAAATCTTACTTTACATAGTACACGTTAATGGTGTCCATATACCTTTGACTGACTCTTCCACTGGATTAGGAAACCAGTGCCACTAGGCAATTTACATTCATCTTAAGATCAGCATGGTGCTAGATATGCAGATGTTTAGAAAATTTTGTTGAATAATTGAATCCTCACATAGGCACAGAAAAGTTCTGTTTTGAAATATAAATTGGAACAACCATTTTTGCAGAACAATTTGACAAATATGTGCTTCAAATTTAAACTGTTCATATTGTTTGACTGAAAGTTAAGCTATGACCAGCACTCCTACATGAAAGTTTCATTTTCCCTGGTTGCCTTCTAGAATCATCGATGATATTCATCCATATACTGTTTTAGAAATAAAATTCTTTACCTTGTTAGGGTCGGGCAAACATCGGAGGAAGAGGCCACCAAGAGACTTGTCTCATGCAAAAGCAAAGGGTTTATTTGGGGGGGGGGGACCAGCATGCTGGGGCTCAGAGTTCTCCTGAGAGAAACTGGAGCCCCAAGTACAGCTTAAGCAGAGTTTTTATACAGTGTTTAAACAGGGAAGTTCATATGGCAGTTAGGGTGGGAGAGTGGGATTGTTACAAAATAACCATTACAGAATAATCATGCGTTTTGTCAGGGGGTGTTGGGTCAGGGTACATTTTGACATAAGTAACTTTTTTTTTTTTTTTTTTTTTTTAAAGGAGAGAGTGAGAGAGGAGAGAGAATTTTTTTTTAATATTTATTTTTTAGTTCTCGGCAGACACAACATCTTTGTTGGTATGTGGTGCTGAGGATCGAACCCCGGCCGAACGCATGCCAGGCGAGCGTGCTACCGCTTGAGCCACATCCCCAGCCCAAGTAACTGTTTTTAACATAAGTTTCGGGTTCCAGGAAAACAGAACTTAAACTTATAGAAAAGCAAAACTTAAACTTGTTTAACAGGAGAGAAAAACTTAAATTTAACCTTTACATTCCCCACTCCTTTTTCTGAGTACTTCTAATCCTAGAAGTGATAGATTATTGAGGAGTATCACATTCTGTTTCTGCTAACGGGACATACTGTTGTCTTATTACCATAAGTTTAACTTGTCCAATTTGAGCTTGGAGAAAGGAGACCACACAGTTGAGTATACAGAGTCCCACAGTTAACAATAACATGAGGATTATTAAAGGACCAGCTAGGGCTGATGGGAGTTAGGATTGCTGGTGGTCAAGGGGAGAGTCCATAGCCCTATCCATACAGCGAATACGCAATTTGAAAGGGTTACCAGTCTTTTCCAGTTTTCCAATCGGAGTCTGGAGAGGGAGCAGGCTTGAGATGGGAAGCATGGATCCAGGAAGCGATTCCATCCACTTTTACTGCCTTAGGTGTTATGAGCAGCACTTGATACGGTCCCTTCCAGTGAGGCTCCAGAGATGACACCTGATGCCGCCTTACATAGACAAAGTCTCCCACTTGGTATCGGTATGGGGTTCCTTCGTCTCCAGGTTGGCAGGAAGTGGCCAGCTGTTTCCAGGTATCGTTGGTTTTTTTTTCAAGAGCTTTAAGTCTGTCAAGCAAGGGAGCATGGAAGGAATCATTAAGTCTCAAAGTTGGGGTTAAGTCTCTTTTTGGAGGAGGGGTACCATAGAGGACTTTATAGGGGGTGAGATTACATAAAGAAACAGAGGGAGTATTTTTTGCAGGAAACAGTGCATAAGGTAGGAGCATTGTCCAATCTTTTATGCCGGTCTCTAAGCTTAATTTTGTTAAGGTCTCTTTGATGGTTCTATTCATCCTTTCTATCTGTCCTGAGCTCTGAGGTCTATAAGCACAATGTAATTTCCAATTAATCCCCAGAGTTCAGGCCAATCTCTTGACTTACCTGGGCCACGAACGCCGGTCCATTATTGGACCCTATTACCTTAGGCCAAATCTCGGGAAGATGTCCTCCAGGATCTTCTTGATTACCACCGCTGTTTCCTTTTTTCGTGGGGAAGGCTTCAACCCACCCTGAAAAAGTATCTACAAAAACTAGGAGATACTTCAAGTCCATACCTTGCTGGCTTAATTTCAGTAAAGTCCACTTCCCAGAATTGCCCTGGTCTGGTTCTTCGTAGGCGTTTCCCTGTGGGAAGCTTGGAAGGGTAAGCATTAACCAATTGACAGACCCGGCAGGCTCTCATTACCCGTTCGGCTATTTCTTCTCGTTGTGTGTCGGTCAGCGGAAATTTCTGCTCTTGATCCTTCAGGAATGCCTGTAGTTTCTTTGAACCTAGGTGAGTGAGTTGATGCCCAGTGGAGTCAAGGAGTCCAGTGTCAGTTTCCTGAGGTGATAAGTTGCCTGGGTACTCCGACGAAGTCAAATCTCCTGACTGTTGTTCCCCCGGTGAGGAAAGTGTTAACATGATTACTCCGTTGAGAGCTGCCAATTTAGCTTCCTCATCTGCCCTTCTGTTTCTAACCGCCAGGGGATCATTTCCCTTTTGGTGCCCTGGGCAGTGTACTATAGCTAATTCTTTGGGGTTTTGCACTGCTGAGAGAAGGCGGAGAATCTCATCTTTGTTTTTTATTTCTTTTCCAGCTGAAGTTAATAGTCCCCTTTGCTGATAAATAGCCCCGTGTATATGGGCGGTAGCAAATGCATAACGGCTATCAGTATATATGGTGGCCTTTTTGCCTGCTGCTGGTTCTAATGCCTTCGTAAGGGCGATCAGCTCTGCCTTTTGAGCAGATGTCCCTTCTGGGAGACCAGAGGACCAGATGACTTTAGTCCTGCTAACTATTGTTGCCCCAGCTCGTTGCTTACCGTCCTGGAGGAAGCTGCTGCCGTCCATGAACCACACGACTTCAGGATGGGGCAGTGGCTGATCCTTTAGATCCTGTCGTATACTGGTCTCTTCTGCCAGTATATGTTGACAGTCATGAATGACAGGCTCTGACGATTCTTCAGGTAGGAGCGTAGCTGGGTTAAGTGGGGCTGGGGGTCCCAGTGTTATTCTGTTTTTGTCAAGCAACAGGCTCTGGTAGTGAGTTATTCTAGAGTGTGATAGCCATCTGTCTGGAGGCTGACGAATGATGTTCTCCAGGGCATGAGGGGCTATAATGGTTAGCTTTTGCCCCAGCGTTAATTTATCAGCATCTTTTATTAGAAGGGCCGCTGCTGCTATAGCTTTTAGGCAATGGGGCCACCCGCTAGCCATTGGATCTGGCCTTTTGGACAGGTAGGCTACAGGTCTCTTCCAGGGCCCTAAAGTCTGAGTGAGCACTCCTTGTGCTATTCCTTTCTTCTCTTCAATGTAAAGAGTAAAGGGTTTTTCTACGTTTGGAAGTGCCAGTGCTGGAGCTGAAAGCAGTGCCTTTTTAATGTCATCAAAAGCTTGCTGATGTTTGGGGGTCCATTGGAATTGGGTGTCTGCCTTTAACAGTAGGTATAAAGGAGCGGCTAGGGATGTAAACCCAGGAATCCATAATCTACAAAAGCCAGCAGTCCCGAGAAACTCTCTAAGTTGCCTCCTATTAGATGGGGGCGGTATCTGCACAACAGTCTGTTTTCTGGGCCCCGTGAGCCATCTTTTGCCATCTCTTAGGGAATAGCCCAGGAAGATAACTTCCTGTTGGCCGATTTTAGCCTTTTTGGCTGAAGCTCTATATCCAAGCCGTGCAAGCTCGGATAATAGTGCTTGTGTCCCAGACACACAGTTCTCCTTGGTGTCAGCTGCCAGAAGCAGGTCCTCCACATATTGAAGCAAGGTGACTTCTGGGTGTGTAGTCCTGAAGTTATTGAGGTCCCTATGGAGGACTTCATCAAAGAGAGTGGGGGAGTTTTTGAACCCCTGTGGGAGTCTAATCCAGGTTAGCTGGCCAGATGTTCTTGTTTCTGGATCCACCCACTCGAAGGCAAACAGTAGCTGGCTGTCCTTATGTAAAGGCAAACAAAAGAAGGCATCTTTCAAGTCCAAGACAGTATACCATTTTCGCTCAGGATTTAGAGTACTGAGCAGATTATATGGATTAGGTACTGTGGGGTGAATGTCCTGTACTCTGTTGCTGACCTCCTGTAAGTCCTGCACAGGGCGATAGTCTCCTCCTGGTTTCTTCACTGGTAGCAGAGGAGTGTTCCAGGCCGATTGACAGGGTCTTAGGACCCCCAGAGCCAAGTATTTTTGAATATGAGGCCTTATTCCATTTTTAGCTTTTTTTTGCTTGAGGATATTGTTGAATATTGATTGGGGAGGCAGAGGTTTTTAATTCCACTATTATTGGAGGCTGTTTGACTGCTAAGCCTAGTCCAGTAGTTTCTGCCCAGGCATTGGGGTAATCTTTTATCCATTTCTGGGGTAGTTTGCCCGTTTGATCAGTCTTAGAGGGTGTGAAGAGTTGATGTTCATCATCTACTGACATAGTTAAAGCTGTGACTATGGGAGTCTTCACTGAAGGGTTTAGAAATTTCACTTGGGGACCATCAAGGTTAAAGGTTATTCTGGCCCAAAGTTTGGTGAGCAGATCTCTGTCCATCAATGGGGCTGGACATTCTGGGATTACTAAGAAAGAGTGATGAACTTTTCCCTTCCTCAAGTCCGTAGTCCTCTTAGTTGTCCAGGCCCGATATTTATTGCTATTAGCCCCTTGAACTAGTGACCTCTTGTTTGACAAGGGGCCCAATGGAGTTTTAAGGGCTGAGCATACTGCTCCTGTGTCCAGTTCAAAGTTTACTGGGGTCCCCTCCACTTCAAAAGTTACCCTGAGCTCGGGGAGAGGATCTGAGCCCCGATTCCCTTAATCATCTTCCAGGGTCAGGATGGCTGGCTGACGTGACTGTTTCTTTTTAGGGCATTCTCTGGCCCAGTGTCCCTTCTCCTTACAGTAAGCACATTGATCTAAAGCCAGGGGCAATTTTTGGCGTGGGCCTAGGTACCGTCATATCTTGTAGTCCATCTAAACGTTGTAGCTTTTTTCTTAATATCTAGGGCAGCCTGCCCGATGAAGGCCAGTGCAACAGATGCTTTTTGGTCCTCTGCCTGAGGATCAAAAGGAGTATATCTCCTATATACTTCCATAATTCTCTCTAGAAACATTGAGGGAGACTCATTAGGCCCTTGGATAATCTCTCTTACCTTGGCCAAATTAGTTGGCCGTCTGGCGGCCGCTCAGAGACCCGCTATTAGAGCCCGGCGATAAGTGGACAGATGCTCCCTACCTTCGAGGGTGTTGGGATCCCAGTTGGGTCTGTTCAGGGGAAAGGCAGCTTCAATTAGATTGGGAAGTTGGGTTGGTCGTCCATCTGGTCCAAGAATATTTTTCCTGGCTTCCAGGAGGATCCTTTCTTGTTCCTCAGTTGTGAAGAGGGTCCCTAGAAGCTGTTGGCAATCGTCCCAGGTAGGCTGGTGTGAAAACATCAGTGACTCTATTAAACTTGTGAGTCGGGTGGGATCTTTAGAAAAAGGGGGATTATTATTTTAACAGTTATATAGATCAGAAGAGAAGGGCCAATATTGGTAAGCTTGTATTTCTCCCCCTTGCCCATCATCAATCATTGGCCCATAGGGGCGGAGGGGGAGCATCACGGGAGCATCAGGATTCTTAATTATTCGCCGTCGGCGGGTTCCCCCTGCTGGCCCAATTTTCTCCGATAGAGGAGGAGTTGGGTTTATTGCAAGGGAGTCATCTGGAGCAGTTTCTTCCACCGAAGGGATTGGATCTGTTTCAGGGGAATTGTCTATAGGACGTTGAGGGGCAAGGGATATGGGGGTGGAAGAGGGGAATCTAGTAAGGTTAGATCTTGGGATTCAGGGAGGATGGAGGGAAGAAGGGGAGGAGGAGAGGAAGGAGCGGAGGGTTTGAGGGACAGAATGGTGGGGGTAGAGGTGGAGGCAGGTGCAAGAAAAGGTTTCACCCATGAAGAGGGAGATTCATAGAGGTCCTGCCAAGTAAGAATATATGGCTGTTGATCTGGATGACCATGTGGTCTCGGCTGGAAGACAATATCTCTGACTTTTTGGATTAGAGGGAGGTGGAAGGATCCTTCTGGAGGCCATCCGACTCCGAGAGTGGGCCATTCTGATGTACAGAGAGTCTGTCAGCTCCGGCGTTTCACTGAAAAAGAAAGATTCTGGGCCCTTGAGCGGACTTTAGTCCAATGATCAAGGGTCAAAGACCCTTGTCCCATAATGAGAGATATGCAAACAGTAAAAGTAATGACGCAGACAATAAAGACAAACAATAGACGTCCACCACAAGTTTGAAACAGAAACCAAAACTGAGTAGCTGGTAGAACCTGACGGGCTGGCAACAGAGTCACTGAGTCTGAATCAGTGGCAAAATACACCTGAGCTGAGGGCTCTTCCGTCCCTCGCATTGGGGGCACTTCCGTCCCTTGATTTCCTGAGTCCACCAAGGCATCCCTTGGGGACATGGTCTGTGGCTTCTGGACACTTCTGTCCACCACTGCTGGGGAGAACTTATGCTCTCTGCTGACAGCCACCTTGCCAAGCCCCAAAACTGAAAGTCCTGAGCGATCGCAACGAAGAAAACAAAATCAAAACAAAAAGGAGGCGCCTTACTTACCCCGAGAGATGTCCATTGGGGGTCTTTCGTCCGCTGCTGCCGGATCCCGGACGAGCCCCCAAATGTTAGGGTCGGGCAAACGTCGGAGGAAGAGACCACCAAGAGACTTGTCTCATACAAAAGCAAAGGGTTTATTTGGGGGGGAGGGGACCAGCATGCTGGGGCTCAGAGTTCTCCTGAGAGAAACTGGAGCCCCGAGTACAGCTTAAGCAGAGTTTTTATACAGTGTTTAAACAGGGAAGTTCATATGGCAGTTAGGGTGCGAGAGTGGGATTGTTAAAAAATAACCATTACAGAATAATCATGCGTTTTGTCAGGGGGTGTTGGGTCAGGGTACATTTTGACATAAGTAATTGTTTTTAACATACGTTTTGGGTTCCAGGAAAGCAAAACTTAAACTTAATAGGAGAGAAAAACTTAAATTTAACCTTTACAACCTTTTCTCTATTTAAAAAAAAAAAGGCATCAATCAAGAAGCCTGATGACAATATGTAGATGGTCTCATTAAAATTTCTTTAAGCTCTTTCTTAGTACCCTGATGTTTTAATAAAGAAAAAGACTGAATAACATTTAATTGAAAAAATGTTTTATTAAACTCTATACATGATTCTTTAAGGGAAATGCTTCAATTTTAGAGTAATTCCAGTTGGCAGAACACTTTTTTGAATTTTGCACTATTTAGTAAAATGGCAGAGTTCCTGTACCAAGGCTATGTACTATTTTTAGTGTTCCATGTGTGACAAAGTGAGAGGCCTGTAGTACTTAAAGTTGTTGGGTCATTGAATTGTAAGCTGAAGTAGCACCTGTTTCATGGATTTATTTGGTCTAGTTTAACTTCTGAAAAGAGATGCTATCTTTGAACTTTAAGGCAAAAATTTAAATTCCTTTTTAATGAAATCAGTTTCCTAAATAATGGTTAATGCAAATTGGGAAATGCTACTGTACCTGCTGCCATCTGCTGGCAGGTTTTATTTTTCTAAATAGCAATTTTCAAGATGTGATATGGCTCATAGACCCCTGGTGAGGGTAGGAGGTGGTAGGTCTTTGCCATTCTTTCCAGGGGATCTGATATCAAATTAATATTCATACTGACACTATAACTTTGTTCTTCACTCTTTGTATTTGTTCTGAGGATGCAAAAGCAGTTGCAGGCAAAAACTACTGAGATCTTTGGACAAATTAATACAGTGCCTTCAAATTGTACTCAAAAATGTTAACTCTTTTGTTGCTCTGTTCTCCTAGTACCAATTTTACTTAATAATCTTAGTAAAAACTAAAACTTGTCACCTCTAACCTTGAATTCTTATGGAATTTCATTTTACATGAAATAACCACAATTTTATTCAATAGATATTGAAAATCAATGAAGCAAGCTTGTCATTTTAAGTGAAACCATTGACTATTGCCAATGATAAAAACTTAGCATTCACCGGGCATGTTGGCACATGCCTGTAATCCCAGTGGTTTGGGAGGCTGAGACAGGAGAATCGCCAGTTCAAAGCCAGCTTCAGCAAAAAGTGAGGTGCTGAGCAACTCAGTGAGACCCAGTCTCTACCGAGGATGTAGTTCAGTGGTTAAGCATCCCTGGGTTCAATCCTTGGTTAACAACAACAACAAAACAAAACCCACTGAGCTTTCAAGCAAAAATTACAATCTTGGAGAACTTGCGTCTATTAGTATGAATATAATAATTTTTGAGTAAGAGTTTTCTGTGTCAGTGGTGATATTGCTCAATGTGATGTGATACAGGATTGTAGCCCATAAAGATGTCCCATGTCCTTATCTCCAGAACCTGTGAATGTGCTGCTTTACATTCAAAAGGAACTTTGCAGAAATTACTAAATTAAGGACTTTGAGAAAGGGAGATCATCCTGGATGATCTGGGTGAGCCAGATGTCACTCACAGGGGGTTTTATAAAATGAAGGTAGGCAATGGAACATTTTGACGCCAGGGGCGAGAAGAAGGTTCAGTGCTGACGAAATCTGGAAGAGCCCACAGACTGTGGAAGGTTGGTGGTCTCAGCAAGCTGGAAAATGCATGGAAACAGATGTTGTTTAATCCTCTGAGTTTGTGGCAATTTGTTACAGCAGTAACAGAAAACTATACAGTGAGATTTTGACTTTGTGTAATGAAATGTAGACTATTTCACATTTTGTTAAAATTCAGCTTGACTGAACCTTGACCAAATTGGTCCCACTTCTCAATTAACTATATGCAAGAGGAATCATTTGTCAACAGTAGTTAATGACATTTCTTCTTCTTTTCCCTGTTGGGTAAACCAAGAGAATCAAACAAAGAAATATATCTTAGCTGAGTAGTGTGGTGGGACATACCTGTTATTTTGTTCAAGGTGGTACCATTATTTTCTGATAGGTTTTTCTCCTCCTTTCACCCTGGGGGGTGAGGGAAGGCAGCCACAGATGATGATGTTCCTCTATAGTCTGTCTGCTAATCACCATGGTACTTATTGCCTCCACAGGTCCCACCAAGGAGTCTCAGAGCTGCAGGAACAAAATTTCTTGCCAGAACAGTTCCCTCAGAACTCTTCATATCACCTTCTTGATGGTATGACAACTAAGCTTCTCTCTCTTTCCCTCCCTCCCTCTCTCTCTCTCTCTCTCTCTCTTTTGGCACCAGGGATTGAACTCAGGGGCATTTAACCACTGAGCCACATCCCCAGTCCTTTTTGTATTTTATTGAGAGACAGAGTGTAACTGTGAGTTGCTTAGGGCTTTGCTAAGTTGCTTAGGCTGGCTTTGAACTTGAAATCCTCCTGCCTCAGCCTTTTGAGCCACTGGGATTACAGGTGTTCACCGGCTCGCCTGACTAAATCTCTATATTAAAAATCCCTGTGGTGTCTATTCCCCATTGTCCCTTCATGTACAATATAGCAGTGTTACAATGGTATAATCTATTTTCTTGTTGTTGGTGATGGAGCCCAGGGCCTTATACATGTAAGCAAGCCCTCGACCACGGAGTTACATTCCCAGCCCATTGATTATACTCTTGAAATATACACATTTGTGCTGAATATTGAAATGGGTTCAGGAAGGAGGAAGAGTCTGTCCGGGCACACTGAAAGGCAGAAAGAGGGAATTGATTATTATGGAATGGGATTTAGTGGTCTGCACGTGAAACAGGTGGGTGTGGAGTGGGCAGTGGTACAAAGGTTATGTTCTGAAGGACTAACCTTAGGTGATGGAACATTTTGATGTTAGCAGGTATGGAGAGAACAGTTCTTTCCATTTCAGGTTCCCAAGGGGGATTAAAAAATTCTGAATTTCACACTTTAGGTTTCAATCTGGAGACTAGAATGTGATAAAATGCTTCAATCTGTTTCTGGACTAGTTGCTGAAGTTCATTTCTGGATACTTTATTTTATTCTTATATCAGGTTGTTTTTCTTGTTTTGTTGTAGGGTTTCTTTAAATATTTTGCATATTAACCACTTATCAGATATGATTTGCAAATATTTACTCCCGTTCTGCAGATTGCCTTTTCACTTTTTAAAAAAATCTTTATTTTTATTTGTTTATTTTTATGTGGTGCTGAGGATCGAACCCAAGGCCTCGAACATGTGAGGCAAGCGCTCTACCACTGAGCTACAACCCCAACCCACCTTTTCACTTTTTTGATCATATCCTTTTATGCACAGAAACTTAAAAAAATTTTTGGCACGAGGGATTGAACCCAGTGGCACTTAACCACTGAGCCACCTCCCCAGATATTTTTACTTGCTAAGTTGCTTAGGATCTTGCCAAGTTGCTGCTGCTGGCTTTGAACTTGCATTCCTCCTGCCTCAGCCTCCCAAGCCACTGGGATTAAAAGTGCATGCCACCGCACCTGGCTGTTTTATTAAAAATTTTTCTTGAAAACTCAACCTGGTTAAAATTCACCAAATCAAAAAGTCTTTGTCCTTTTCTTTCTAGTGTCACTGGGGATTGAACCCAGGGCCTCTTGCATGCTCCACAAGAGCCCTACCACTCAGCTGCAGGTGAGCGCCACCATGTGGTGAAATTTTAAATTTTGATGCAGTTCAGTTCATCTGTTTTTCCTTTTGTTATCTGTACTTTTGGTACAAGAAATCATTGTGAAATTCATCAGCATGAAGCTTTTCCCTTCTATTTCTTTCCGCAAGTTTTATAGTTTATCTGTTATTTGTGTAAGGTAAGTATTCAACTTTATTCTTTTGCGGTTGGATCTCCAGTTTTCTTAACACCATTTATTGAAAGACTTGTCTTTTCCCTATTGAATAATCTTGGCACCCTTCTCAATGCTAATGTGACCACATCCCCCAGAGAATGTACTAAGTGACATCATTACTATACAGTGGGAATGGGATGAAGTAAAGACAATGCAAAAAGAGATTTGACCATACTTGTGAGGGTTTCTGAGTATTCCATTTCTGTGTCTGTGTTTGTGCCAGTTTCACATTATTTGGATTAACATGGCTTTTTGTAATAAGTTTTGAAACCAGGAAGTGTAGGTTAAGATTGTTTTGGTTCTGCAGGCCCCTTGAGATTTTATATGAATTTTTCTATTTGTGGAAAAAGTGCTGTTGAGATTGTGGTAGGGATGCCATACTGAATCTTTAGATCACTTTGGGTGATACTGACTTGATGATACTAAGTCTTCTAGTCTGTAAGCATAGGCCATTTCCTCATTTACTTGTATCTTTTATTTCTTCCAACAACATTTTGTAGTTTTCAGAATACAAGCCTTTCGTCTCCTTTTATTTCTAAACTTTTTGTTCTGTTATTTTAAATGAAAAATTTAAAAAGGCTTTGTTCACTATTAAGTATACATCTGACTTTTGTTTAATTTGTTGAATTCATTATATCTTCTTGAGTTGTCTTTTCCTACTGGCTATAATAGAATTGGTGGTGGGCATTACAGTCATGGTCCTAATTTTTTTTTTTTTTTTTTTTGCGAGGGGTACTAGGGATTGAACTCGGGGTCTCGACCACAGAGCCACATTTGTAGCCCTATTTTGTATTTTCTTTGGAGACAGGGTCTTGCTGCATTGGTTAGCACCTCGCTTTTGCTGAGGCTGGCTTTGAACTTGCAATTCTCCTGCCTCAGCTGCTAGATCATAGGCATGTGTTACCACACCCAGCCATGGTCCTAATTTTTAAAGGAATGACTTTTGTTTACAATTGGATAGCAGATTTGTTGGATTTTTGGCATTTTAAAAAAGTTACCTTCTAAGGTAAAATTTCTTTTTTGTGCTTCGGAAGCTGACTTCTCATCCTACCACCACCTAAATTACCAATACTGTTGTTGTTGTTGTTGTTTTTTAACTAATAAAGATTATATATATTTATGGTATACATGGTGTAAAGGTTTAATCATGCTAATTTACGTATGCATTAACTACTTCATAGTTTTTTGAAGTGTGTTGAGAACACTTAAATCTCTTAGCAATTTTCAAGTATATATTTGTCAACATATTGCCCTGTAGACATCTTGCACATATTTCCCCCCAACTGAAATTTGTAGCCTTTGATCAACGTTCCCTAGCCCTTCCTCCCTCTTCCAAGCCTTGGTAACTACTGTTGTATTCTCTGCTTCTTTGAGTTGGGTTTTTTAGATTCCTCATATTATGTCTTTCTGTGCCTCTCAGATTCATTTATATTGTCATAAATGGTAGATTTTTTTCCCCTTATTCATGGCTCTTTCTATGGCATATGGCTTTTCTCTGTTAATGTGGTGATATGCATAAAATAGATGTTCTAGTATTAAACCAACTTTGCTTTTCTGAAATGAACTAACTTGATCATTATGGGTTAACATTTCATATAGGATATTTGCCCTATGTATTCATGAGTGAAATTGAACAATGTTTTCCTACTTTCTGTCTAGTTTTGTTATCAAAATTATAGTACTAACCTGAACAAATGAGTTTAGAGTTTTTTTTTTTATTTCAGAAGGGGAGGGAAGATGCCTGAGATTAAAACCGTAGGTACCTCGGATACTTAGAATTCGTGGAAACTTTTTTTGAGTGTGTATGAATCTGCTCTTGTCAAACATTTAAACTACTGGATGATGTTAAAAATCATCATATTTTATGTTTTTTTTTGAGCCAGTTTTGGTAAGATTTATCTACCTTTTATTGTGATAAAGTTCACAATATTTTTTAAAATTGTATATCTCCCTTTGCATTCTAAAGTTGTTTTTTTCCCCCCTTTAACTTCCTTACAGGTCTGTCAGTTTTATTAGTGTTTTCAAATATTTTAATGGGTCTCTTTTCCTTTGAACTTGTTTAATTTCTGCTCTTATATTCTTTCTTATGACCCCCATGGTTTATCCCCTGTTACTTTTCTCTTGCCTCCTTTTCCAGTCAAACACCCTTCTCCCGAACTTTTAGCCTTTCTTCTTTTCTAATATAAACATTTAAGGTCTAAATTATTCTCTGAGTACTTTAGATGCTCAGCACAACTTTGGTAAGTAGTGTCAATCAGTTACAGGTTTTCTGTTTTTCTTAATCTTCTTGGACATACAGGTTTACATGAAAATGTTACCTTTCCAAAAATTATTTGCAATATTTTATTTCCTTACCAAAGTTCTCTTTACTCAGATGAATCCGTTTTGTAGTCCTGGTTTGTAGCCAGTCTCCCTAACCCACCCCTCTCTGCCTCCCCCCCCCCACTTTTTTAAACTGGTGCTTGAACCCCAAGAATTGTTTACCACTAAGTTACATCCCCAGTCCAATTGCTGAGGCTGGCCTTGAACTTCATGCCTCCTATCTCAGCCTCCAGAGTTGCTGGGATTAGGTATTTACCACCATGTCTGGCTGTAATGTTTCCCTTTTAGAGCAGCTTAGTCCACACACCCAACCCCTCCACTTATTAGGTTCTCATAACCAGAGGCCACTGTGTATTAACTTGAATTCCCTGGGGCCATGTGGTTAATTTTGAGCCCACAAAATTATTAGATTAGCCAATGGATAGAAGGCCCTTGTAACCCAACCAACCTCGCCGGCCATACGTAAACTGACTTTAAACTCTGTTTACTGTCTCATTGTCCCTGGGTACAATCCTGTGTAGCTCTGCCTGGCACATTTCTCTCATTTTAACACGGTACTCTACAGCAGAGTCCTATGAGATTCTTCCTGAAAGCTTTGGGAGTTTCTGGCTTCAATTTCAGAGATGTTGGTCTAGTACATGTTGGCTAGGGAACTTACCAGATGTTTTGGTGTTGCAATAAGCCTGGTCACCAGGGGTCGCTGTGGTCTCATGTTGGGCAACAGGTGCTGTGGATCATAGTCTGGGGCAGGGTTTACACTGAGTCTTGTTCTGCTCAGGTTTCTGAAATGAAGCCCAATAGAATGTGATGTCAGGAGTGTGGGTGTTGGCCCAGCTGTGTCTCTTGACTGGTGTGATGTCATGGCATACCACCTTTCCTCTCTTGAGTTTGCTTCCTCATGTATGAAATAGATGTTACTTAAAAACTTAATACCTTTTTTTGAGGGAGGGTGTTTACTTTTGAAGACCAGTTTTCTACACAGAAGTAACCTCTACAATTTCTAAACTTGTCTTTTTTATTAAATTATTTATTCTAATGTGTTATTCATGAGGGCAGAATGCAGTTCATTTCATATTACACAGAGAGCACAATTTTTCAAGTCACTGATTGTAAATAAAGTGGTACCTTTATACATGTACTTAGGTTAATGATGTCTAACTCATTCCACAATCATTCCTACCCCCCTTGCCCTCCATTCCTCCCCGGGATCCTCATATCAAAGAAGACATTTTATTTTGGCCTTTGGTTTTTTGGGATTGGCTTGCTTCACTTAGCATTATATTCTCCAACTCCATCCATTTACCTGCAAATGCCATGATTTTATTCTCTTGTAATGCTGAGTAATGTTCCATTGTGTATATACACCAAAGTTTACCTATCCATTCATCTACTGAAAGGTATCTGGGTTGGTTCCACAATTTAGCAGTTGTGCTGCTATAAACATTGATATATGGCTGTGTCTCTGAAGTGTGCTGTTCTTAAGTCCTTTAGGTATAAACCAAGGAGTGGGATAGCTGGGTCTATAAACTTGCCTTTTTGTACTTGGACTTGAACCCAGGGGCGCTTTATCACTGAGCTTCATCCTCAATACTTTTTTGAGACAGAGTCTCACTAAGTTGGATAGGGCCTCACTAATTGGTTGACACTGGCCTCAGAACTTGTGATCCTCCTTCCTTGACTCCTAAGTTGCGAGGATTACAGGTATGCACTACCTTGCCTGGCTAGAAACCTTCTTTGAATCTAAACACACAGAGATTGATGGGACTCACCCAGATATTTCTTGGGAGTCCAGTAATGGCAGGGCAACGTATCAGGCTCAGCTATTTTCATTTAAATCAGTCAGTGAAACGGCACAGTTTCCAAGCAGAAGGGACTTGAGAGGTCAACTGACACAGCTTTGAAGACAAATAATGGAATCTAAGAATGTGGTTGGCTAAAATCTTCCAAGTCAGGGAAGATTTGGACAAATAGACATGCTCATTTGGACAAATTTTTCTCTATTCTGGAATATCCTTTTCCTTAAGTTTCCCTGGCCTTCTCAAGTCTGGCTCAGATCCCACTTGTTTAGAGAATATCATACGTCTTGAGTACCTGCCCTTGTGTATTCATGAAGAGGAAAAAACCATCAGCCCAATGACCCAAAAGAGAAGGAACATTCTACAGCATATAAGCCAGTTAGAAGGAACAAAAAATCCTTTTACGTTAAAAAAGTCAACAAATAGCGGGGAGGGCACACCTGTAATCCCAGATACTCTGGAGTCTGAGGCAAGAGGATAGCAAGTTCAGCAACTTAGTAAGACTGTCTCAAAAATAAAAGATCAAAATGGCTTGGGGATATGGCTCAATGATTAAGTGCCCCTGGGTTCAAACCCTGGTTAAACCCCACCCCACCTCCCCAAAAAGCCAACAAATAAATTGGTGTGTGAGGATTAACTCTAGGGCCTCCTGCATGCTAGGGAAGCTCTAGCACTAAACTACGTCCCGACTTTTTTCCCCCCAATGCTGGGAATCAAACCTGGGGCCTCATCTCACGCACATGAGGCAAGCTCTATCACTGAGCGACCTCCCCAGCCCCTCCAACAAATTTTTAAAATTAAAAAGCTTACTTGGCTTTCCTCTCCATTTTCTCCTCTTACAGAAGAATGCAAACCTTCCTAACCTTCAGTTTTGGGAAATGAGTCACTTTTCTCTGCTTCTATCAAAAAAAAAAAAAAACCCACTTGAACTCAGCATAGATGGGTGAGGGATAGAGCCGGTGCTCACAGGAAGCCACACATCCTTCAAAGGCACTCGTCCTTCATAGAGCTGTGCTGCTTGATCAGGCTTGGCATTGCCTCACAGACCGTCGTCAGAGTCACTTTCACAAAAGCAAGGTAAGTGGGGACGGGGACCGGGACATTCCTGGGGCCTCCGGCCACGCACTTTTCTCTAGACACGTGTGGCCTGAAGGCAGCAACGCATCCTGGCCAGCTACTTGGCCAACCCAGACACCCGGGCATATAGGTGATTTGTGTCTCAGGGTAGACAGCGGTCTGGAACTTACATGCTCTCTACCTGTCCCCACGCTTCGGAACCCTCTTCTGACGGGTAGTCATACATGTAGGGCCCTTCCCCTTGAGCACATCTTGCTTAAGTTCACACGTCCTAAACAGATATTTTTCATTAAATATACAAACTTTCCATCAAGACTCCAAGATTAAGAAACACCACACACGTGCCTACAGAATTCCAAACATTTACCAGCCTTTTTTTTTTTTTTTTAAACTTCTGATAGTTTCCTAACTCCTCAGTCTTGATCTTTAGTTTTCACTGGTAAAATGGTGGGAAAGAGTAGAACTATTCATTTAACACACATCTTTGATGCCATGGGTCTTTAGCATTCCCCTGCAGGAAGAAACCAAAATCTCTTTGAGAAACAGTTTGTGCATCTGGGTGAGTGGTGGGAGGCATTGGAAGTGAATTAACAATTCACTTATTAAACCCTTATTAAAAGGGTTTAATAAGGAATGTCGGGGTGGGAGGAAAGCCCTTCGTCCGCGAATTGATACACAAGTGGGCATGTGTGTAACTGGGAGGAGGGTTTAACCTCTTTGGACAACTTAGATGGGAGACACAGGTGACTGGGGAGGTGGAGAGTTTCTTTCTGGCTATCATGTGTCTTTTCTAGATCTGTCAGGCCACTTCCCACTCTAATGAGATTTGGTGCAGAGGACTGATTTTTTTTTTTTTATATGTAGCTTGATGAAAAGAACACAAAGTTCCCTCAGATTATCAGAATCTTGAAGCCTCCCAAAAGGCCTTCAAAATACATTTGCTATATTAGTGTCAAACTGGCTTATGAACAGCTAGCTACCTTCTGCCCAAAGGTCAGGTCTGCCCCCAGGTAGATGTGCTTTGGAGCCAGCTTGGACCAACTCCCAAGAGTCTGTCGTTACCTGTTCGGAAATTTTGTGAGCCCATTGGTAGTTTGGAGTTGGCTATATAGTGGGACTATGTATACCCCAGAAACTAGCAAATGCAATAAATTAATAAGTCCCCCCCCCATCTCCTCCTGAGACCTAAGTTACTGGCAGATCATTGGGCTTGGAGCCTAAAGAGCAAATTCTACGCTCAGCTCTGTGGTCTCTAGAAGTTGTTTGACCTTTCTGAATTTTTCATAGATCTTCTGTATGGATCAATTAAGCTTGCTTAGCTTGGAGTATAAGATTTTTGGTGGAGGTAGAGTAGGGACAGGAACATGGGAATATATTGGACCATACTGGTGAACATTCTTTGAAGTCTATATAGTACAAAGCGTTTTTATATAAAGGCAAGTGACCAACTTGGTTTCCTTTTAGTGAAGTAAGCACTTACTGAAATATTGGCCTTACGTTTAAGGTTTTGGTTGTTTTGGTGGTTTTGTGATGCTAGTGATCAAACCCAATGCCTTATGCATGTGAGGTGAGTGCTCTACCACTGAGTGATTTACCCAGCCCCGCTGTGTAGGTTGATTTGGTTGTGTTTTGTTTTGCAGTGCTGGGAATTAAACCCAGGGCCTCACACATGCCAGGCAGACGCTCTATTACCAAGCCATGTTCCAGCTCATGGTTGCTTGGTTTTTAGAGACAGGATCTCACTGTGTTACCTAGGCTGATCTTGGATGCTTAGGTTCAAATGATTCTCCTGCCTCAGACTCCCAAGGAGCTGGGGTAGTGGTATACTACACTATTTAGCTCTCCATATTTAGATTTTTATTTTTCTGTCAAAGGGTCTGGGTCCAGTTCTGTGGGGAATCCCAGCTGATCTTGTCATCCCGGAAAGTGGAGTTAGTGGCTTTTACTATCTTTGAGAATCTTTTGTTGTTGTTGCAGTGCTGGGAATTGAATCCAGGCCTCAGGCATGCTAGACAATCACAGTACCACTGAGCTACGTCCCCAGCTTAAATACAATCTTTAAAATACACATCCTTGGGCTCGAGATGTGGCTCAAGGGATAGCGCACTTGCCTGGCATGCGCAGGGTGCTGGGTTCGATCCTCAGCACCACGTAAAAATAAAGATGTTGTGTCCACCGAAAACTAAAAAATAAATAAGAAAAATTCTCTCTCTAAAAAATAAATAAAAAATAAAATACACTTCCTTGAAAAGGGGGTCTTAAGTTATCCTCACAAATGAGAGAATTGGCCACGTGTGATGGCGCACACTTGTAATCCTGGCAGCCCAGGAGGATTATGAGTTCAATGCCAGCCTCAGCAACTTCGTGAGACTCTGTCTCAAAACATAAAAACGGCTGGGGAGGTGGCTCAGTGGTTAAAAATGCCTAGCTAGGTTCAATCTCTGGAACCAAGCTGGGGTGGGGTGGGGGGAAGAAAAAGAATTGAGTTCCAGTAGAGGGATAAGAAAATGAGTGGCAGAGCTGGACTTTGAACCTAAACTATGCCGGTCAAGGCCTGGGTTATTTCATTGGCCTGCAGGGCACTCTGGGGAATTAGCTACAAAGTGCTTTGTCCCAGATCATTTTATACCCTTCCCAGGCTGAGGAGCTGTGTTCCACATTTAGCACCATTTTGACTTTTTTTTTTTTCCTTACAGAAATCTTTGTTTTCTCTTCCCATCATTAGCTGTTTCTGTTGCATCCAGACCTTCCTTGAGAACCTCACAGGTTTAGAAAATGAATCCCACGGATACAGCAGACACTACCCTGGATGACAGCATCTACAGCAACTACTACCTCTATGAGAGCATCCCCAAGCCTTGTAACAAAGAAGGAGTCAAGGCCTTTGGGGAGCTCTTCCTGCCCCCTCTTTACTCCTTGGTCTTTCTGTTGGGTCTGCTTGGAAATTCCGTGGTGGTTCTAGTCCTGTTCAAATACAAGCGGCTCAAGTCCATGACTGACGTGTACCTGCTCAACCTTGCCATCTCGGATCTGCTCTTTGTGCTTTCCCTCCCATTCTGGGGCTACTACGCTGCAGACCAGTGGGTTTTTGGTCTGGGTCTATGCAAGATTATTTCCTGGATGTACTTGGTGGGCTTTTACAGTGGCATATTCTTCATCATGCTCATGAGCATCGACAGATACCTGGCAATCGTGCATGCGGTGTTTTCCTTGAGAGCAAGAACCCTGACCTATGGGGTCATCACCAGTGTGGCTACGTGGTCAGTGGCTGTATTCGCCTCCCTCCCTGGCCTTTTGTTCAGCACTTGTTACACCGAGCGCAACCACACTTACTGCAAAACCAAGTACTCTGTCAACTCCACCACGTGGAAGGTTCTCAGCTCCCTGGAGATCAACATCTTTGGGTTGGTGATCCCCTTGGGGATCATGCTCTTCTGCTACTCCATGATCATCAGAACCTTGCAGCACTGCAAAAATGAAAAGAAGAACAAGGCAGTGAAGATGATCTTTGCTGTGGTGGTGCTCTTTCTTGGGTTCTGGACTCCTTACAACATAGTGCTTTTCTTGGACACCCTGGTGGAGCTAGAAGTTCTTCAGAATTGCACCTTTGAAAGGTATCTGGACTACGCCATCCAGGCCACAGAAACCCTGGCTTTCGTTCACTGTTGCCTTAATCCAGTCATCTACTTTTTTCTGGGGGAGAAATTTCGCAAATACATTGTCCAACTCTTCAAAACCTGCAGGGGCCCTTTTATGCTCTGCCAATATTGTGGGCTCCTCCAAATTTACTCTGCCGACACCCCCAGCTCCTCTTACACACAGTCTACCGTAGATCATGATCTCCGTGATGCTCTATAAAAAAAAAAAAAAATGCAAATGCAAAACACAGAGCCAATAAGCTTCCCACCTTCAGAGCTTACTTAAAATTGTATTTTAGTAAGAGTCGCCTGAGAGCAGGCAGCAGGAGGAAGGCATACAGCCACAGTGGAAAGTGTAGGTCTCACCTTGCAACTTTTCCCTCTTCCCAGTAAGCAAGTTGAGCCCCACGGGGGTTCACCTGGACCAAATGTTCTTCTTCACATGAGACCTGCCTCAAGCAGAAGTAAACCTGCAAATTCTGACCAACATTTCAATGAGGTTATGGATGATATTGAAAGAGAACATTCATTCCCTCTAACCTCGACTGATGGCGTTCTCCAGAAGGAGCTGCAGACTGATGGGGTAAACAGCTATTCCCTCCTGTGGAAAATGTGCCCTCTGATTAATTTCTAGCTTTTATGGAACAACAAGGAAGGTTTTGATATGCTATCGTAGTGTTTTTCTAGTAACAGATCTGTAGCATGGTATGTTCCATGAAGTCAGGCGGATCACAGAAACAATTAGTGGATCTTGATACTTTGATTGTAAGGATAATTTGTTTATCGAAGGCCGCACTTTCTCTGCCAGTTAACAAATGTAAAGATTTGAAGGCATTAGTACGGTCTGATTGCTAAACTTGAAACACAAGGCATTTAAAGGCCAATATATTTGTTCAAATTCAATTTGCCTGTGGACATGTTTTAATTATACCAAATATTCAAAATGTGTAAATTAGGGATTTGGAGGCATAGCTCAGTGGGTAGAGTGGTTGCCTAGCATGTGTGAGGCCCTGAGTTCTGTCCCCGGCTCTGAAAAATAACAATAATAATGCATAGGCCCAGAATACATTCATCTAGATCTTTTACTTGTTTACAAACATGTTCTTCAAAGTTTAAGGAAGTACTGTCATATTTCAGTAATCTACCTTAAGTGCAATTAGTTGAGGTAAGAAAAATCAAAAGCTACTGCTGATGTGGTGTATGAAAGAAGTTTTTAACCCCAGTATTGCATTGATTTTTAAATTTTGGGTGGCTCAGAAGTTGTGTTTTTTTTTTTTCCCAATAGTGGTGCCGGGGATTGAATCCAGGGCCTTGTGCATGCAAGACAAGCAATGCAAGACAAGCACTCTACCAACTGAGCTACATCCCCAGTCATTTCTTATAAATTATTTCAATCATGTATAACTTATACCAATAAAATAAATTGCAATATTGTCCTTATTCATAGCCTTAATCAGAATTAAAGACTCAACGTCTAGGAGACCACCAATCTCTCCAGAAACATCCAATCTTTTAAGC